CCCCAAAACCCCAAAACCCCAAAACCCCTTTGGGTTAGAAAAATATTGAAAAGATTTAAGAATATAAAAAATTTAGGTGTTGCTCATATTCTGACTCATAAATAAAAGTTCTAGGAAGCCTGGATGATGGAACTGACATAGGGTCACTTTCTGAGGTGTCACCGTTGGGAAGGATTATCAGTGGGAGTATTAAGGATTCAAGGTTGGTAACTAAGCACGATTCTCAATCTATCATATTTGCAAGTTTTAACTCTTCATTATTGCTTTGGGTTTTCCTGAACTTTATTCAGTTTAATTCTGTGTCTAAAAGGTCTTCTTGTTTTCATTTTTCAAAAAATAATTGCTTTATCTCTGAAATAGTTCCTTTCTTAATATCTAAAAGGCTATCAAAAGGTGACTTTAGTAGATAATTCTTATCTTCATTGGCCTTCAAATTAGTTATAAGGCTTTCACACCTAACTTCCATCTCATCATCATTAGATTGGTCTGATTCCCACACCACTGGATCATTTAAAGTTTTATACAATCTCTCTTGACTGATCTGAATGGACCCTCCAAACAGAATTTGAGGATTCTCTTGTTTAATAAAGTTGTTATAATCACTAAAAAAACTCTTCTTTTCATTCTATCTTTCAAGTTTTACCAGCCCTTTCAATTGAGGTTACTTCTTCTTTGACATCAATATCTTCTTGCTTTCATACAAATTCTGTCAATTTTAGAGGATCTCCTTCAGTCTTAACAACATCATAGTAGCCTTCCTCATTGTTACATTTCTTACTCTCATCCGAATTCAATATGTTAGTGGAATGGACAGTGCTATTTTCGAGTGATTGGGAATTCCTTGTGTCAATTTGTTCTTCAGTGGGCTCTGAATGTGGCTCTTTGGGAGCAGCTTCGGAAGGTGCATTGGAGTCGGGTTTTGAAGGAGCTTGGACGGGAGAAGGATGTTTAGTACAACTCTCAGCTGGTTTTTTAGGAAGTGGAATTTTATTTGAGTTATCTTTGTGGCATGAAGACTGACTGGAAATATCGACTTGGTCATTCTCATTGATGACTTCTTTATAATTTTCATTTTTTGCTGATTTTTCTTTTATAGACTCTCTTTGTTTGAGTTGTTGCTTTTTGATTCTTTTTTTGTGTTGATAGTACTTTTAGATTTCCGTGGTTTCTTTTTCTTCGGCTTTGAATATTTAGGAAGTTTGCGGGTTTTAAATTTATCTCTACCTTCTCTTTCATGTTTTTTACAAAACAATGGATAGTACTCAACTTTGTCCTTGTATGATCATATCATTTTTCCTATTTCTTTTAAATAGCCTGCTTTGATAGCTCAGGTTATATGAAAATGAGCAGCACAGTATCCCTTATTTCATTTCTGAGTAAGACCTCCTTGCTCACATCATTTGTAACACTGTTTATTTTTTCAGATTTCTTTAGAATAGCCAACCTTGAATTTTTCACCATCTTCCTTTATGGTTATTTGGGATAACCATCGAGCTCAAACAATGTGAAAATATCCAAACTTCCGATTCTTAATGAGAATTCCATTATATTTTAAACAAAAACGGCATCTTTTATTTCTCAAAGATCTCTGCCTTTGGTATCTTGCCTATTTCTTTGAGGATTTGGGAGCATCTCGCTCAAAACCAATTCCCCTCAGGAACAGAGTGGTATAGTTCATTGTGATAACAATTCTGATGAGTGGCTGCAAGTCATAATTCACATATAACAACTCTGTTGATATCTTGAAATTTTCCACTGAGACAAATGTTGCAAATCACATTATCATCCTTTTCATGCTCCTCTATGTAAAATTTCTCCCTGAAGTCTGGATCAGTCTGGAGCTGGATAATCTGATCCCTAACTGTATTTGATTGTTTATTTGTAGCCATTAAATGACTCCTATTCACCCTTATTTGTGTACACGAATTTTACAACGATTAATGCTAATACTATTAGAATCCAAGCTAATTATTTCAATAAAGCTCCAATTGAAAGGGGTTTTGGGGTTTTGGGGTTTTGGGG